CAACAGAGCTGCTTCATGGAAGAAGAACCTCAGCTTAGCCTGTTAGCTTCAGCGTTAGCCCAGACGCTATCACCATATATATGTATTAGCTCAGCACTACACATTCTCCTTTTGTCACAGGTTCTCCATCCACATGACAGAGAGGGGAACACAAAAATGGCTCAGTCTGTAACTGAAAATATGGATGGAGGACCTCAGCTGCCTTATATGCATTAGCTCGGTGCTAGCGCGACAAACAAGGTAAACTGAGGTCCTCCATCCACATTTTCAGTTGCAGATGAGTCATTTTTGTGTTCCCCTCTCTGTCATGTGGATGGAGGACCTCAGTGACGAGAGGAGAATGTGTAGAGCTGAGCTATACATATATATAGTGATAGCATCGGGGTTAATGCTGAAGCTAACAGGCTAAGCTGAGGTTCTTCTTCCATGAAGCAGCTCTGTTGTCCTCCATCCATATTTTCAGTTAGAGAGTCATTTCTACCTTCTCCTCTCTGTCAACGCTCTCTGGTTTCATTTAAAAGAGCCAATCATCAGATATTGTCCAAGATTAACCTTCAGGGTGGATATAGCTCACTAGCAGCCTCACACCATTGACCTAGTTGACATCATTATTTACCCAGAATGCTTTGCATGTAAATAAAATGGCCCTGTCCGTGTAATATATATTTAAACTTTTAGTTTAAAAATTATAAAAACTAAATACACTACGGTATTTTTACAGTCTTTATTTTACAGTTAAATATACGTTTATCAAATAAAGTCTAATGTTACAACTAATCGGGGATCCCTTTAAACATCAAAGGATGCTCACAGGTGAAAACACCAGATTTCTGATGCGTTTCTCTTCAACTCCTCATATTCAGATGTTCCAGGAATCTGAGTGGTGGTATTTTGTTTGAAGTGCATGGGATTGAGGCAAACATCGAGCTATATAAACACCCTGTCTGTATAGAGGCAGTAACACAATGCTTCTTTGTCTTCTTGTTTCGTCATAGCATTGATGAAGTTTTCYTTTCAGATTTGGCTTCAGTATCACATCGGTTGCATTTTGCATGATTCGTGCACATGTTGCACGTTTAGCTCTGTGGATTTGTAAAAAACAATGTGATCAATAATTGGAAGTCGGAAGAAGTTTGCAAATCTGAACTCCATTTCAGTCTCATTTCAGACTTCATTAATGTCAAATGGACATAAACTTCCTGGTCACGCCCCTGGGGGGCGGTACCTTTTACGTCAGATGTAAAAACAAGTTCTTGGTTATCCTGTGGAAGAGGGTCACATCGAAAGAATCATACCAACTCTTTTATATTTTAAAGTAATAATACATAAATGTCCTTCAGATTCATCCTGCTGCTGGATTCTGACCCGTCTGAACTCAGCCAAGTCACAGTGATCACATGATCTCCCCTCATTCAGCTGCGATGATGTGCTGTGCCTGCATGTGTTGCACTGACGTGGCTGACCTGTCAGCTGTAATAACCAGGAACACCCAACACAATTTTAAAAACATGATTCACATGATTTTCAAGTGGCGTGTCATGAAATAATGTTAGAAGTTAGTATCTTACCTGCAGTCGACAGCAGTCAGAGCAACAGAARTTTGGAATAATTGCAACTTTTTTATTGTAATATTAAGAAACACATTTTTAAAAAACTTTTTAAGATTTTATTTTGAAGTCTAAGATTAAGCCCTTGCACCACAACCTCTTGTTCATAAGATCTTTGGATGAAGTCAGGTCCACCACAGCCTCCTCTAGAGGAGACTGTTGTCAACTTCAGCTCAACATCATTTAGAAAAAAAATGCTTTTCAGAGCAGCAGGGATGTGGAGTTATTCACCTACTCTATGTTTTAAACTTAATGTAAAGAAATCAGGTGTGTGGTCATTATGGTGTGTAATCTGTAAATGTACAGTATTATTGATTTGATATTTTAGTTGGTTCAGTTACTGTTAGTCATTTTTATTGTTTTTATTGTGTTGTAATTTTAATATTGTGTACGACCTGATAATGTTTTTAATTTGCTGTCACTCAGGGATCAGAAAATTAGCTTGTAGCTATTTCTGGTCTGTGCAATAAATGTATTCTGCAATGTCCTTGTTAAATAAACACATATATGTTTAGTACAATCAAACTTATTTAAATAATATTTTGAAAAATGTCTGAAATGAGTTGAATGAAAATTTCTTTAAGGTGGCTCGAGTTGATTTACTTTTGGAGATGAAGAGACAGGAAGCACTAATATTAGCACCATGCTAACATAAAGATTTAATATGTTCACATTTAGCTTAGTAAATGTTGAATATTTTGCTGTTTTAAAAGTTTTCTGTTGACTTTTTTTGACTCGAGCAGTTTAAAAATGTGTTAATCAAATCAAATGAATTATCTTATTCTTCTTCCAAAAATTTTCAAGAGTTCAAAACACAGGATTTTGTTTGTATTTAATGTAACATTTTTGTTTTTTAAATTACAGCTTCACCATCTGATCAGGTTTTATATTTCTCATTTAAACTCAACAGAGCAGAAAAATTAAAACAAGAATAAAATTACACAATTAATTAAAACAGAACAAACTTAATGTCAGATTCCTAATAAACCTGCGATAAATTAGCAAAGTAGTTTTCAAAAGTATTAAATAAAAGAAGTCATAGACACACAAAGACTCCCACACTGGAGCATTTTATATTTTATTTAGAAAAATAAATAAAAACAACACAAGACATTTCATACAAAGAGCCAAATCAACATGAAACAGTCATTTTAATCAAACAGAATGGAAAATATTATATTTATGTTATCAAAATACTATTAATACACCTAATTTTATACATTTACAGATAAAAACTTGAGAAGTAGAGATGTTCGCAAATGAGCTGAATCTTTTTCCACACTTTTTTTTTAAATCAAATGATGAGAATCGAGTTGCAGATCATTGGGAGTCGTTCCTCCTCGTGTTTTCCTCCTTTATGACATCACAAGTAAGCTGCAAAGATCCACCATCTCAAAGAACAATTTCTCAACCTTCGTTAATTAAAACTGGCAACTTCTCCATGTCTCAGTTTTGACAACAAACCTGTCTGACTGTAGCTTGAGTTGCAATCGAAACAGTCACAGTACAATCGTAGTCAAAGATGCAGCAGAGGAATCTCAAATCAACAGAAACGAAGAAAAAAGTGCTTTGGAAACTTGAGCTGATTTTAAGAACAACTAAATTTTTTTTTTGTCAAAAAAAAAAAAGAACTAAGTTTACCAACTGTTACTTTTACAAAACACAACGCACCGTCTCAAGGAAGAGTGAAAAATGYACAGTACTGAGTGAATTTTTTTAAGACACACGTTTTCTGTGTTCCTGCTGCTCTTTAAAAACGTGTCTCAGTGAGTCTGATCTGCACTACTATGTTTCAGGAATGATTAAAAAAATACCCTAAAAGGGACAACAGTCATCCTGTTGTTTGGTCATTACAAAATAAAACTGGAATGAGCAATACAACTCGTTTTCCTAAATCTGAATTTAAATTTGTTATCAACATAAAAGTGCCTTTAAAAAACAATTAAAAATGTGCACATTTTATTCAACTCAAACCTTCAACAGATTGAAGGAAATCCTATCAGAGGATAGTTCAAAAAGCAGCACTGATGTATTTTTATGTTGAGTGCAAACAAAAGACCTAAATGTTTATTAAAGATATTCTAATTAATCCCGAACCCATTTTTGGTTTGAAACATGATCACATTTGAAAATATTCTGGTAAATAACTTATATTTGGGCCAAATGTACAGTTTTCCTTATCCAGTAGCTCAGAAATACTGTGCAAAAACTCCTGATTTGTTGTCATATTTCCCCACAAAAAGAAAGAAACAGGCTTGCGTTTTGGTAAAACAGTAGTTCAGACTTTTAAAATGGGGTTCTGGGAAAGTTTATGGACAGTGAGTATCTTACCTGTTGCAGATATCTTTTTAAACTGCTTTACATCAGAGAAATGGTGCTTAATTCTGAGCTTTAACATGACTTCAGTTGGCTGTTAGTCACACAGAATTCTACAGTTATCTGCAAGCACAAACAGCAGCAGCAGCCAGCTGTAGCACTTCTGGTGCAGTCTGGTGGCACTTTCAGAAGAAACATCACAAAAATGTACTATTAACCATGAAATGTTAAATTATTGGGAATGTAAATGTAAATAGGGTTAGCATAAATTGCTTTTGATTTTTTAAATTTGAACTATTTTCAGATGGCGGAAATCTACTTTTCTCTTGCTCAGACAAGACATCGACTATCAATCTCAACAGGTAGGACACTATTTGTTCATAATCATTCCAGAAAATCCCACTTTAAAAGATCGGAACTATAACAAGTTTTTATTTTGCACAACAATTGTTTGTTCTAATGTCTTTTAATTTAGTAGTGTTTGGATCATCGTTTTTAATAAAACCAAGCTAACTGTACGACAGTATTTGACAAAGTGGTTTTAAGGCTAACTTGTTGCTTCCAGCTTTGAGGTATTCCATCTCCATTCACCATCACGTGCCATAAAAAARGACAAAAATATGCGTTGAACACACWCTCACTTTAATTTACTGGGCTTTCACACTCGCATTCTTTCACACCGCATGCAAAAGAAAAGAAACTGAAGAYGCTAAAGTTCAGATTTACCCTAAATAACCAATAGCACGCTGGCGCAGATTGTTCCCACCATGGGAAGCCCTGCAGGTCCACTGCTCATGATAACGCTGGAGTCTCCAGCCTGGCGATGTCGAGCAGCTCTTTACTGTTTGGCGTGTACGTTTTGGCCGATTTGAGGTTGCCGTGGAAACCAGGGGGACTGTTCAGTATGGACGGGCTCGATATGGAGGTGACGATGATAGACGACGTGGTCTTAGACGCGGGCCTTGTCCCCGACTCCATCACCGCGTTATCCAGCTGAGAAGGCAAAGAGAAACAGGATTCGAGGAGCTGCAGTGTAAACTCAACGTTTTCATGTGAGAAGGTGAAGCTGAAGGTCTGAGTGAAGAAAAAAGGAGTTATTGGAGCAAAATGAAGCAGCTGTCATCAATAACGTCCTGAGCAGAGCACCACGAGCATTCGTCTTCAAACTAATTGTAAATATCTGCTCATTAGCAGACATTTAGTGGAATATTTTAAACACTTGAAACATTTTTGGATTAGTGCCTCATACTCAAATCCAGCTCTTCCATATTAAAAGAAGAAAACAAGTATTTGTTGTACATAAAWGCATTAGAAGATGATGACAGGAAGGAGCTTTCAATCTTTGATTTTCAGCTATTTTACTGATTTAAATATTAAAAGTAGCAATAAAAAGTAATTAAGCTAGACGTCTTGTTAGAAAACATTGATTTCATTGGTTAGATGTAAAAAAACATTTTATATTTGAATGTGCTCGTTCAGAAACACTGAACAAGTTGATTRGCACATTCAGAAAGTTGATTGAATTGCATTAAAATCAGTTCTTTTAAAGATCCAAACATGAGTAGGAATACCTGACAGGTGCAAAACAAAATCTGAAGATTACAGCTGGAAAAAAACAAAATGTTTAATTCAGTAAAATAATCCTGAGACCTTTTTATAAAAAACAAACAATCAAAACATAAAATAGAAGTATTATTATGGGCTGTCTGTTGTGTCTAGTCTCATTAATGTACAAAATAAAGCAGACAGGCACTTCATGATGAAATGAAGCTTCAGATAAAGAATAAATATCGTTCTTTCCCCTCAGGAGCTGCAGCTAAATCACAAGCTGCTTCCTCTTTCTGAAGTCATTTAGTGCCAAAATGGATTTCCTAATATTTTATTTAAAAACTATCATATTTAAAGCTTGTCTGAAAGCATTCATGTTTTTAACAATTTTTGGGTGTAAATATTTAAAAAACAGGAGTGAAATAAAATTACAGACTTACTTATGAAGATGTATTAATGCTGTAATTCTCTTTTAATTAATATAAACTGTAAAGCCTTAAATTAGCTATTTTTAAGTCATCCTTTCATAATTTCATTTGGTTTAAGTGTTTTTTTTATTTATTTGCTTCTATCAGATTATTAAATCAAATCTAGAGGGCGAGTCAAAAGTCACAGGACACCTTATTTCAGAAAGAAAAGGGAAAATGATCTGAATATCTTTTATGGTAAGTCCAGAACATTTCTGCCAGCTCAAAAGTCACTATATTGGATCAAAAGCAAGTTTCTGCAAAGATAGGTCTCCTCACTTATTACTTGCTGAAGTATTTTTCTTCTCTTTCTGAATTTAAATTGTGTCCTGTGACTTTTGACTCACCTGTACGGTGACAGCAAATCTTTCAGAATTTTCTTTTTAAAGAACTTGACAAAAAAATCTTAAATAAAAAAAAAACAAGGTGAATCTTCCATCAGCTGTTTCATCTTCAGGGGTCTAACTGCATCCTTTAAATATCCTTTTTATGTTTTCCTGCTTCTCTAACATCAATATACCCTCTGTCCCTCTTCTGGACATGTCCAAACCATCTCAGTCTGACCTCTCTAAGTTTATCATGTCTTGATTTATGAGAAAATATTGAATGAAAATGTAATATAATGAGAATGTCATGACATAAAAAATGAGCAGAAATTAATTTGTTGGTCACAACAACTAAAAATATAAAGCCAAATAAATACATCACAGAACTCAGAAAACTAAAACAATTGTTGATCAAGAGGTGAATAATAAAAAAAATACATAAAGTGGTATTACAATCGTATGACAACATCGACCTCTACAGTAAGAAACGGTGGGCGGATTGTTCTTACAGCAGCAGGGAGACGTCTGGTCGGCTGCTGACTGACGTCCAGCATGCAGATGTCTTCAGGCTCAGTCAGAGTCTGAACAGTGCGCACATAAACAACCTTTTAGTGTCTCCTGAACAACACTTGACTTCAAATCTAACATGTTTCATTGAGACAAAATCAGAATAAATTTAACATAGGTTTCCCCCTCTGGTGGGGAAACGTTTTTTCAGGGATACAAACTTTTTCAGAACACCGGTAGACGGCAGCCATTACAGATGAACATGTGTTTGTTGTTCGAGCAGCGGTTCAGTCACACTCTAATGTCATTAGTTCGTTATCATTACTGAGCTGCAGGACTGCTTTCCCACCCTTTTTTTTACATCATGTCACCTGCCTGGATCTGTTATTATCTCGCTCTGAAGCACGGAGGAGTGTCAGAGGTAAGCTTGCTTCAACTTCTTTTTTTATGCCATGGTCCCATTTCCGTACTCAGGCATTTTGTGAATGAAGCTGATATTGAAGTTAAAATACATAAGTAAAAATATTTATCCGAGTATAGTACTACCC